CTAAATTTTTCATAAGAACATTTTCTCATCTGACTTAATAGGGTATCAAAAGAAGATGAGTGATTAAAGCGAAGATGTTTTTTATATTCGTATCAAAGAGCGTTACCAAAAGCTGTTCGAAAAAGTGCTAGTGTGTTTTAAGAGAAATGAACCATTCCATCTAGATGTTAAAGCTATTAGGTATGGACGTAAGACTGGCATTCCTTTTCCAATCGCCATTTCTAAGTTTGCAATAAGTGTGGCAAAAGTACCAGACAATCACGGCCAAAGGTTGAACACAACGTTACACACTCTGAGCATATCTAGTTTGAAAAGAATTATTGGAAGTAAGCAAGTGTATATGTAAAAAAATAAAATAAAATTTTGATATTAAATATATTAAAATAATTAATTTTAATTATATAATAAATAAAATTTAAATAAAACTTATATTATACTTCACTTATTTTTTCAATTTAATTAAACATTTTAATATTTTTAGTACTAAAATATCTTCTTGTTATTCTACCTATCTTTTCTTGCGTGGGGCTCCAATTTTTCTCGTCAGAAACATGGGAAACAAAAATAAGGCTGCCTGGGTCAGTTGATTCGTCTTTATTTTACTTTAATTTACTTTATTTTTATTTTTAAGTTTAAATAATAACTTAGTCCCTCAACTTTAAAATTTTATACATTCTTATCCCTTAACATTTTTATATATTTTTTTATCTCAACCATGAAAAATATAAATTTTTACTCTTTCTATCAATTAATCTATTAATTTTTTCTATACATACATATTTTTAATTTTTTAACTTTAAAATTTTATATAATTTTTATCTTTTAACTTTTACAATGTACACATATAAATAAATTTAATAAATTAATTGATAAAATTTTAAAAATATATATTTTTCATAATTAAGAATTAAAAAATTAAGAAACAAAAAATATGTAAACCTATAAAGTTAAGACACCAAAATTAACCTTTAACTTAATTTTAGTTCTTTCCTTTTTCGAAAAATGAACGGAAAAAAGGATACTGGTGCAATGTAAAAGCTTAAAAGAATTAAACATGAAAACAAAGTTGAAGAAAATGCATAAAAAAATTCCCAATTGTAAACTAAGACGCTACTTTCTCTCCAGGGCTATTCTTGCATTAAAAAGTTGTGAAACAATTATATAGTTGATTATGTCTTGAGGTAAAACTGACGATCCAAGCATGAATCGAGAAGCATTGATGAATATTTGTAATAATTACAACCGAATGATGTCTATTGCTGTGTGCTTTTGAGCCTCGAAAGAATGACAAAAAGGATGCATTCTATAGAATGTGGTTCCTCACTGATCGCTGCAAGAACTGATGGTTTGGCCGGATATCTCCTTCACCGTGTCTCCGTTCTTGTATATTTTAAAAGTCGGGACACTTCTTATACTCTTTGCTTTTGCGACTGCCAATCTTTCCTCCACATCCACCTTCATTAATCAAATAGCAGAAACATTTGTTCAGACATCATTTCATCAATCAAATTCATTCTTAAAAGTATAGATTTGGTTAAAAGAACTTGTAAGTCCTATAAGCTATGGTCATGACAACCATAACTAACAACTCAGGAACAAGTAATCGTCCTAAGAAAATAAATGAAAAAAGAAACCATACATTTTTGTTAAAGCTGTTAATGGAATCTGCAAAAACAAGGTAAAAACTAGGAAGTTTCTAATGTAAATGTGTTCCAATAATTTCACGTGTACCAGGAAGGTTAAGGCCGCTGAATTGCATACCTTAAGAAAATGAACAGAGGGATATCGAACACACAATGTATTTACAAAGGGAGATATTTCTTCACATTGTTCATTGGATGCCACTTTAAAATGAACTACTTAAATGCCTGGAATAAAATTGTTACTCAAGTAGGGAATTTGAGACATGATTAATGAAAAAGAAGTAAACAATATGACGAAACTAAGGCATCGTTAAGCTCACCAGGTGATGACATTGCCACTTTGAATCTGTCTAGGTTAGAAACCTCTTCTGCTTCCCCACTATATTTTACATTATAAACTTGGGATTTCATCAGTGCAACTTGTGCACCGTGTAGAGACTCAGCAACCTCATTGTCTCCAGGAAGTTCCCTCCTCAGGACCTCATAATCTTTTACAGCTTCTGCCCACCTTCCAAGCTATAACATCCCATAGGAAGATTTGCAAGTATTAATTGTACATATAATCAAATAAAACACAGTAAAAAAGGAAGGAAAATTAATGCCAAAGTAACCTTTCCGTTTGAGGCAGCCCTTCTAAGCAGGGCCTTTGTATAATTTGGTTGGATCTTTAGTGCCTGGTTGCAGTCCTCTACAGATTTTTCCCACAGTCCAAGCTTTGACCAACAAATGGCTCTATTGCAGTAAAGAACATAGTTGGAACTATCATATCTAAGGCCCTCTCCATAAGCCAAGCAGGCATCAGCATATTTTCCAGCACTGAAAAGGTCGTTGCCATGACTACGGGCTTTTGCTACCATATTCACATTGTTTAATAATGTTGAAATTTCTACATTACTATGATCAATAAGCCCTGCCCTTTCTGCTGCCAAAACCGCATTCTCAAATCTGCAAGAAATCTATAATCCAGTCTTACTTGATCCCAGAAATATCATCACATTGTAAGTTTTAACTTCAGTCTTTAAAGCTCACCTTCCTAATGCCATCTCAACTTGGGCTTGAACAAAGAGCACAAAAGCTTCACCAATCATACCAAAAGATCCTGTGTGTGAAGAGGGATGTTTCAATTTGAGAGCACTTGACAAGTAGCAATCTGCATTCTTGAATTCATGGAGCTTCAAAAGAGCTTCGGCTTTACAAGCAACAAGCTGAAAGCACATTTCAGTAAGTTTAACAATCAGCAGTTCAGTTCTATGCTCGATTGGAGAATTAAGAGTAGGAGTTAGAACCTGAGGAGATGAGTCTGCACCAATTGCAATTGCTGCATCAATTTCCCTAAGCACACTCTTCCAGTCCCCAATTTTCCGGGCATCTGCACATCTAATAATATGCTTCTCTAACAACAGCAACTTCTGCAAGTCAGTTGGATCCCGTTGTTGCCCTGTAAAACAGAGGTGATACCTGGCATTATCAGGTTGTCCCAACCTGGGGAAAGAAAATAGATATTTATTAATCTTCTGTCAAATATTATATCAAGACAATCATTGTTAAATATAAAAACCTTAACCAAAGCATGAAGAAATAAGAACGGATAGGATGATGGAAGGAAAAATTATATCACAAATTGTAATGTGAAACAAATCTCGAGAAGCCAACGAACATCTAAATCAACAAAGGAATAAGCCAAAGACATAGAAAGAGAATAGCAGAAACATTGAACAAAGAGAAAACAGATGCAGGGATTCAAAATCACCAACGAAAAAGGGGGAAAACGGCAGAACACACAAGCAACAGCCACACAATCGAGGTCAGATCCTACCATCCCCACACCAACACCAATGAGAAATAAACATATCCAAAAATCACAACGAACCAATACCAATTCCCACCAATCAAATTCATCAAAATAATCCGTTAACAAAACAAGAACCCAACCACTCATCACCCAGAAAGCATTACATAACATTTTATAATAAGAAAACTAAGAGTCTAAGACTAAAACTAAGAAATTACCTGAGATAAAGAGAAGCCAACCTCTGATGAGCCCTTCCATACCCAGAGTCCAACCTGACAGCCTCCTCACACTCCCTCACAGCCTCTTCCAACCTTCCCACCGCCGTCAATGCTGCTGCACGGTTACTCCTGTAGGCCGCATTGTCTGGTGACATAGAAATAGCCTTGTCGTACAATGCCAATGCCTCCACAAAATTCCCTTTCTTGTACATCTCATTACCAGCCCTCTTCACCTCCTCTGGATCACTATTACCCATTTTCACACCGCCACTAAGACCACCCCGCATTATGCTGCCGTGGCCGTAGTTTCCCGTACCCCTAACGAGTGTATCGGTTTTGTTGGGGACACGAGGCGCCATTGTTTTGAGGATTTTCCCAGATGGGCAGATATTACCACTAGGCAGTACGCTTGATATGCTCGGATTTGAAGAAACCGATGAGCTTGCTCCATTGACATGACCGTAATTACTAGTGGCGCCACTAAAGCTTGAACCTGAGTAGATCAATGCGGCCCCAGCTGAGACGGATCTACGGTGACCCAGGCTACGGTTACTGTTTCCAGGGACCGATCCAGATGGAGGCGGGGTGGCCTCAGAAAGTTCACCTGAGTGACTGCCTGAGCCATTTTCGGGTTTCTTGGGCAAATGGATAGTGCTGCTTTTGCCTGAAACGGAACCGGATGAGCTGGAACCGCTGCTTGTACCACCATTGGCATTAAAGCCCGGTAGAGTTGAAACTGGTGAACCCAGATCGAGTTCCCTGAAATCAGGCTTGTTATCTTTGCTTGTGGCGGTAGTGAACCCCAAAGAATCACGGAATCTGCTACGTAACGAATCAAAGCTGGATCTTTTAGAATGTGACATCCTTTCTTCACATAAATGTTCAAAAATTTTGCAAAGAACCACAACACTGGTTCTGGGAACAAGTTAGTCTTATTCAAAGAAGAGAATTCTCCTCTTTGAGGAAGAGCAGCTACAGAGAGAGATTCTGAAGAATAAAACACGGAGGAGAGAAGAAGAAGGTGAGGGGAAAAGAAGAAACTGGAGAAGATGGGGATCTCGTGATGATATGTTAACAGGCGGAAGCAAAGAATGAATGCGAGAGACCTTTTTTGGTAATTTCGTTTGCTGCTCGACTGGACACCGCTTCGTTCGCTTAGCTTCACTTTCGTATTCCTCTGCAATCTTTACACGTCTCTGGCCCACCACTCTACTTTTTTCCTATAATCTGGGTGTGGTTACCGCGACGAAACTCATTTGTTCATTGCCTATCTTAAAAGAAAATAAAATAATAATAATAATAATAATAAAACTCATTTGTTAATATTACTGTACTAAAATTATATTTTATTTAATTAATATTTGTAATTTTGAATTGAAAATTAATATATTTAAAAATATTAATTTATAAATTAATTTTAATTTATTAATTATCATAGTAAATATTAATTATTTTATTAATTATTAATTATTTTTAATTATTAAATCAAACTAAATTAAAATTTTTTACACATTTTTAATAATTTTAACCAAAAAAAAAAAAATAGTGGTTATAACTACACCCCAATCTTTTTTCCAACTTTTTTTTTTCCTTGTCTTATCATTTTTTTCTTTTTACCTTTTGTTCTTAATTGTTTTTCTTATTTTTGTTTCAACTTATGCTACTTTCTTTTTCTTTCCATTATTCTTCTCTTTTTAGTTTGTTTTTATTCCCATCCAAACTACATAATACAAGTGTAGTTAGAGTATTAAAATTATTGAAATGAGATAAGATTCTCTTATATAAATTTTACATAAAATTATAGTCTTTTTTATTATAAATAATTAAAATTTCTTATAATTAAAAAAAAAACA